ACACCTATTTACAACAACGTATCATCTTTTTGCAAGATGGATGATGCACATGATACGGATGGATGAATGGTTTTGTGGTATTCCTTGGGGGAGGCTTATTTTCAGGCTTATACTTTTGCAGACATATTACAAACCGATATCAAAACAATATCCACTGCCCCATATTGTCTTCTGGCTGTCATAAGAGGCAACAGTGGGAAACTGAAAAAGGAGATGATTAGCAGCGCCTTATTGTCTTGTTTACTCCAAATTATGAAACACTGCGGTTGCTAATCCATCTGTCAAGCGTAGCAACTTTGGAAAATCAGCAGTGGACTTTAAAGGCTGTAACGAATAGATGGACAATGCAATAAATTCATGACAATGATTTGGTAATATCGCTAGGATCATCAGAATATTTGGTTAATGTGTGTTGCTAATTTTTTCTTAAATACCAATATTATTTTTACTAGCGACCCAACCTGTATCTATTAAAATAGCAAAAATATTAAAACAGTAATGTTAGCAAACAATTTAACTAAGTTTATCAATCCACTGCTGAACATGGGCCTCTTCGATGTAGGAAAGTGTTCTTTTTATGGAATTGGAAGCTGACAAACGAGCACACAGTTCACATGATAGTATGGGAATGTATAGCTATTATAGCTCATAAAAACTTATATATGTCCCCGATTAAGAGTCTTGTAAATTAGAGATGCCTTGTCACTCATAAAGACTAAGATGAAATGCCTCGTTTTCAATAAAGAAGGTTCCGGTTCTCTATTCTCAACATGCGAAGCACAGTAGCATTAAATACTATTTCGCACTGGTATTTTGTGAGAGCACGGTCATTTCCCAGTCAAGCCGATCCATTAGTACTACAACTATAATATAGGTGCAGCATGGCACGTACAGATAAGAAAATAAATAGAAGTTTTACCGTTTTTCACTAAAATACCCAGGCAAATTCACTTGTTTTATTCTTAATTAACGACCCGTCTAAGCTATTCCTAGGTAGATTCTACAATAATAGTTATATTAAGTGACTAAAACACACGCATATAACGGTGTGGCGGCGCTGTCGTCGCGCCGCAAGCGAAACACACCGAAGCCTAAATCATGCTATAAAATTCCGAACCATAAACAGTATATATAGAACATCTCTGAACTATCACACGGAGTGTTGGCCGCTCCCCGGGCAGAACACCTTGCCCGGCGGGAGATCTCCCCTTTTCCTTCTACGGCCACAGTGGTGACCCCGACGTGATCTGAACACACAACCAACAACCTTCGGAAACTTCAAGCTTCATCATCGTCATAGAATACCCCACCCATTTGCTCCCGAGCAGATATCGTCTGCAGTCTTCATATCCTGCAAGCCATCTAGCTTCACAAGGTTCATCGCAGCACTGGAATAATAAAGCTTCCTGTTCCTTCAAGCTACTCTCCGCGCTATACAGTATTTGGCACAGTTCTGACCTTACTGCTGGCCTCTGCTTCACAGCACTCTCGCATATTAATTGCCTTCTTCTTGACTCACCGCAGACTACAAGGCAATCCACTGGCACTTGCATATTCGTCGGCAACGAGGCTGCACTATCAACCTCTGGTCTGAGCAGGGGGGTGATGTGACGGCGCTGTAGTCGCGCCTCAAGCAAAACACACAACATAGAACATCTTCGAACTATCACACGGAGTATTGGCCTCTCCCCGGGCAGAACAACTTCCCCGCGGGAGATCTCCCCTTTTCTTCTACAGTCACAACGGTTGGGTCATGCCTGTCATCATGTATACCTTTGGAATACTCAAGTAGACTCAGACTGAACTTAACGCCCTGGATAAAAAAGTCCGCACTACCATGACATCCTATAGGATGCATAACTCGAGATCTTCGGAAACGAGGCTGTACTTGCCGCGAAAACATGGTGGGTGTGGCTTCCTGAGCGCGCTCACCATGCATAATCGCGAAGTGTGCAGCCTCCGTTATTACTTCTTACTGAGATCGGGTGATTCATTCTTTAATGACGTCATTTCTAGTGATAAAGGGTTAACCCCTCTATCCTTAACCAACGAGCAATGGCAGGACCCAGCAGTACAAAGCATTTCCGACCGGGAGACCGTATGGAAGGAGAAGGAGCTCTACGGGAAATACTACAGGGCTTTACATGAGCCCTTCGCAGATAAAGTCGCCTCCTTCAACTGGCTACGTTTCGGTGACCTCTTAGGGGAAACCGAGGGTTTTGTCTCTGCAATAGAGGATCAGGTTATTAAGACCAACAACTATCGGAGATACATCGTACAGGATGGCACCGTCGACGTCTGTTGGGATTATCGCCATCCCGGTGAGTCACTTAGGCATGTCATCGCCGGTTATTCGGTGCTTTCTAACTCTGAGTACTTGCACAGGCACAACCTAGTGAAGAGTTTCAAAGTTGTGAAGTGAGTTCGATTACAGGAAAACCTTCGACTCCGTGCCGCATTCCTGGTTGAGGAAGGTACTCAAAATTTATAAGATCGACCCCGAAGTTGTCATTTTATTAGAATATTTTATGACAAATTGAGAACTTTTCTTCATCTGAACCATTAACCAGAAGATCACAACAGGGTACATAACAGTACCAAGAGGAATCTTACAAGGAGACAGCCTTAGCCTCTTATAGTTCTGCCTCGCGCTCAACCCCATCTCTTTACTTCTAAATGAAACAGGACATGTATTTCTTATAAAAGGGGCTCAAAGATATCACTGAAAGTTGACTCACCTAATATATATAGATGACATTAAGATCTATGCGGCAAATGAACGAGAGTTCCGAACGCTGCTTCACTGCACTGAAAAGTTCTCTAGTGACATTAATATGTCATTTGGACTTGAAAAGTGCAGAACTGTGAATGTTTACCGCAGACGAATTGAGTTATCTAGAGATTTTGACCTTCAAAGATGTGGAAAAATTGACGCAATGACCGAAAATAACGCCTATAAATGTCTAGGGATCATTGAATCACGGTGAAATTCGGTCGAAGATGATTAAAGTATATATAATCAAAGGCTTAAAAGAATCCTCAGTTCAGGTCTGAACGGACGCAACCTCATTAAAGCAATTAACACCTTTGCTATACCAGTATTAACTTACACGTTCGGAGTATTTAACTGGTCAGACACTGAACTGGAGAAAATTGAGAGATCTACTCGCGTCATGCTTACTAAATGTCTTATGCACCACCCAAAATCAGCTGTTGAGCGTGTAACTTTATCTCGAGCCAAAGGCGGTAGGGGACTAATTGCTATTCGTAGACTGTGTGCTAAGCAAATTCAAAGTCTTCGAAGTTATTTCCTTTCGCAAACGTTTACTGTTTAACAACAATCGGTTTTCTTCATGCCGACAATTTCTCACCGTTAGAGACTGACAATAAATACAAAGACGATAAACTTCAGCAATGACCCTCAAAACCTATTCACGGTCGATTCGCTAATGAACTGAGTTAACCACATGTCGAAATTGAAGCATCGAACAACTGGCTCTGACATGGTGAGATCTTTGATGAAACTGAGGATCTTTGATGAAATGAAAAATTATCTTAAATACATTGTCAATACAGGCATCGCAGTTGACCACTACCGACGGTGTCATCAAAAGCCAGAGACCATCCACCACATAAGTGGTGACTGCCAGGCTCTTGCTGGAACCGAGTACACCCAGCGCTATGATACTGTGGCAAAAATTGTGCGCCAAGAGCTGGCAGTAAAACACCTTAAGGAAACAGAACCCTACTGGAAATACAATCCATCCCCGGTACTCGAGAATGATTCAGCCCAATTTTATTGGGACAGGTCAATTTAACTGATTGGACAGTTGTGCTTAATCGACTGGACATAATATTAGTAGAAAAGGAGGAGAAGCGTACGTGGTTGTTGGATATTGGCATTCCAAACTTGCATAATGTGCAGAAGTACAGCACTGAAAAGTTGATTAAGTACCAGCGATTGGCTGAAGAAATCTGTTCTATTCATTTTTTTTTAAAACGGTACCTCCACACTAGGATTTTCTCCTGTATCGTGGGGGCAGTTTACAAACACAAATTTCAAAAGGACAAACATCCAGACCCGGAACAATTACTTGTAGCCCATACAAATACTTGTTCCGTGCGGGATTCGAACCCGCAGCCCCCAGCACAGCCACTTATTGTCTTATTGCTAAACCACTGCGTTACGGAGCCGCCAAATTCGACAGTTAAGGCGACAGCAGCAGGTACTTATTGTCCCGATGATTCTTTATACCATCGCAGTGAGGGTGAGGAACAAAATGCAAAAAACTGTAATTTTGCATACGACAGCGATAGTACGTCACCACCTCACAATTTAAAAAAGAGCGGGATCTTGCGATCAGCAGATGCCGCATCTTAAAACTCTAAAAAGAGCGTTAATGGAACTTAAAATAATAATAATTTATTTGCCTTGAATGTAGGTATTTACAATATGATGTTTACAGAGTACCTAAAAGTTCTCGGGGGAGTCTGATCCCTAGAGAACGCGTCCCCCCTAAGCGACAGATATGACAAGAACAAAAATTCGCATATTTTAATACAATCTAAAATAAGATTAGCCACGTGAAATTTGGGCACACTAACAGGAAGGAGACGAGAGCTGGCAAAAGTACTACAGGCGCGAAAAATTAACATATGCTGCCTACAAGAGACCAAGTGGAAGTGTTTGAAATCACAAAATCTGGGACTCGTATACAAGCTCTTGTACTGTGGTAATACTAGTATGCGTAACAGAGTTTCCATCGTCTTGGATGAAAACCTAAAACAACGCATTATTAACATAGATAGAGGGAACGATTGACTTATGGCAGTGAAATTGGCCATGAAAAACCAACCCTCCTTGAACATAATCTCGTCATACGCACCACAAGCGCAATGTAGCGAAAGTGAGAAAGAAGCTTTCTGGAACGAGTCTGATGACTTACGTCAGTGATACCTGAAGAATTTTAGTTCTTATATTGGAGGAGACCTAAACGGCCATGTTGGACCCAGTAACACGACGTATAACTATAACAATGCCATTACCAAACCCTCCTTGTATCTCACAAGGAGGGTTTGGTTATGGCACACTTAACAAAGGCGGTGAACAAATACTGGAATTATGCACGAGACATCACCTAGCAATAGTTAATACCTTCTTTAATAAAGAACCGGAACACTTAATCACGTATAAAAGCGGAAACAAACAATCTCAAATTGACTATATCCTCACAAATCTGAGCAAGCTGAATAATAACAAAGATCCTTCTTGGTGGGATGAAGAAGTAAAGGCCGCGTTAAGAAACAAGAAATTGTGCTTCACTACGGTAGCAGAGCTCAGGTTTGGACGACAACCGCATACGATACAAAACCGCTAAAAAGCTGGCGAAGTGTAAAGTGGCGAAGCAAAGAAATAACTCTTGATAAAAGTACTACCAAAGACTAGAAAACGCAAAAAACGATAAAGATATATTTAAGCTGGCGAAACAATGCCATAAAAACAGCCTAGATATTAAAATTAACAAATATATCGAAGATGAAAATGGCCATTTAGTAACAGAAAACAATAAAATCAGTAATTGATGGTGCTAATATTATCCAAAACTGCTGAACGAAAAATTTCCAAGTCAACCATCGAATATATCCAGCGTAGCTGGACCATTGAACAAGATAAGTTAAGAAGAGGTCGTAAGTGCCCTAAAACATGAAAAACCATAAAGCAGTTGAGCCGGATAGCATACCCGATGATCTATGGAAGTCGCTGGGGCCTATTGCTGTACAGTGCCTAACGAATCTCTTTAATGGAATCTTAACCTCCATGAAGATCCCAAAGTCCTGGCACCATAGTTATCTGGTACCTTTCTACGAACTAAGAACTAAGAACAAAGGAGATGTTAGTGACTACGGAAATTATAGGGGTATCAAACTTACTTCCCATACACTGAAACTATGGGAGCGTATACTCAACAACCGCCTTGGTCAGATGGTGTTAATATCTAATAATCAGTGCGGTTTCACGCCAGGAAGATCAACGACTGATGCAATCCAATCCATAAGGATTTTGATGGAGAAATACCGGACCAACAGAGACGACCTTCACCTAGCGTTCATAGACTTGGAAAAGGTCTTCGACAGAATACCACGTAAATTAGTTTGGGAAGCTATGAGAGCACAACAAATACCAGAACTCTATATTCACCTGGTGCGTGATATGTAACAAGTCTGGCAGGACTTAGCAAACCGTTTCAAGTTAAGGTCGGAGTGCATCAGGGATCGGCACTAAGCCCATTCCTATTTAATCCATCTATGGACTATCTTACTAAAGGCATCCAGTCCTCCCTCCCATTGTGCATGCTGTATGTAGACGACATTGTGCTCATCGACAAATTTGCGACTCAGCTACAAGCCACACTCGAGCAATGGAGACAAGTTCCCGAGAACAATGGCCTCCGTATAGCCGGAGTAAGACTGAATGAGGTGCAGCTTCAGTGAACAATATGCGCCCAACATAAATGTCTCCATTGAAGATCAGCCACTGCCCTGCGTCAGCAAATTCAAATACCTCGGTGATAACGGTGGACGTCAATATCGACGCGGACGTAACTCATAGAATTAATGCAGCATGGTTAAGTTGGAAAAACCTTTCAGGATTACTTTGCGATAGCAGGATGACAATACAACTAAAAGGAAAGGTTTACAAAACGGCCGTAAGACCTGCCATGTTATAAGGTACGGAATGCTGGGTGGCCAAGAAGAGTCACGAAAAAAAAGTTGCACACGAATGAAATGAAAATGCTACGATGGTCAGCAGGCGTAACGAGGCTCGATAAAGTGCGCAATGAATAAATCAGAGGCTCCTTCAAAGTTATGCCCATTGTAGACAAGATGGTCGAGAGTCGTATGCGATGGTACAGGCATGTAATGAGGCGGGATGAAGAACACCCGGTGATGAAAGCCTTGGCAATTCCAGAAAAAAAAGACAGAGGACGACCATTAGCCACGTGGTGGGCAACCATAACCAAGGATTTGGAACGATTACAGCTTGAAATAAAGACAATTCAAGATAGAATATCTTGGCGCATAAAAACGAGGAGAGCTGACCCCAAATAAAGGGATAAAGCAAGGAAGAAGAAAAAGAAGAAGAAGTTTACAGAGTACCCAAAAAAATCCGTACATTCTACAATTTTGGCATGCAAACATTAAATTAAAATTTATAAACGTGGCTTTATTTACATTTACAATAATCATTAAAGATCATTAATTCTACAAATTTTTCTATTTCTCAAAAATAAAACTAAAAGTTTTCAGATAAAATATAGTCTATACAACTCCTGGTAGTGATATCTATCTGTCCATGATATTTCATTACAATCAATTCAGCCGTTTTGAAAATTAGCCTGATCAGACATACAAACCGACTAGGTAGATAGGCAGACAGACAAACTTTATAAAAATGATTGTGTCTTAATGTTTGCAAATTACCCCCTCAGCTGAATAAAAAGGTAGTCTTTTCAATATTATAGACAGAAACATCAATTTTTATATATGTATCGAAAACGTCTTAAAATCCACTCAACAACGCGAATCAACAAATGTGCAGTAACTTACATACTTCGGGCTTAATTTCACAAAAAGGCAGACAATAGCTTTTTACACCTTACAAAGTCCAAAAAAACATATTGTGTTTGAGAATAGAACACCGCCCCACTATTGTCGCTCTGAGGTGTGTAATTTTCAATATAAACCGAACATAGGAGTTGTATATGTGGCGCTTCGACATAAACTACGTGTAGTAAACTTATCCAAATTAATTGAAATATTGTTTTATCAACACAAATGGATGGCCAGACAAATCTATTGAGGCAGTGGTGTTTATTTACCTATGAGATATAATTTCAGTAAACAAACTTCGAGGCAAGCGCTTTATCGCGCTTTACTGGTCGCTGTAAATTTCACACTGCGCTAGTATTCGGGCTCGATTCAGGAACCAATGAAATTGTTAATTGCAATTTTTAGCACTAATTTATCACCTGCTCGCCATTAGAGTTAACAACCTGCAATGTCTGAGAAATTAACTCCCATTGAAGCAGTACGTCTAGTACTTCCTTGCCCTAAAAACCACTTAAAGGAGACAATCATTTTTGTGCCCACTAGAAATTTTAGTGGCCCACAATAGTACCACATACAAAAAAAGATACCAATTTAATATTAAATATCGCATAAAGATTTTTTGAAAACCTAAACGGAATTAAGAATGTGAAAAAAATTAGTTGTTTTGATATTCGCGTTTAGATTATTGGTTTTGGTAATGTAATATTTAAAAAATAATTGTCTTAGAGATGTGCCAATTCGGAAAAAATCGACGTAAATGCGTAAAGGCCCGCATGCTGTTGCGTCCAGCACCAGCTCCAGACGTACCCTGGCGACCTTCAGGCAACGGGCCTTTACGCACTATATTCCTGTCCATAATCCATAATTTAGGCGTCAATTAACGGGAATGTCCAGGCCCGGCACCGTATCTTGTGCGGTCATAAGCACAAACGGGCCTTTGCACTCTAAATTCTGACGAGGCATGGCGCTCACACCTCTTGGCAAGGCGCTGACTGACTGCGCTGATATAGCAGTTTTGTCACTGTACTGTTACGTCAGCGGGAGATGGGGTCGTCAATCCTCTACGCAATTTTATTATTATAATTATTATTAGAGATATCTTGTTTGATTTTATCAACTTCATTTCGGTAAACAGCCTCTTCATTATCTGCGCGATTTTATAAAAACGTAAAAAATGTTTTTGTGTGGGTATATCCCCTAAATTATTCCTATACTCCTCACATTTGTAACGCGATATTCCACTTCTCCGTGGCGAGTCCTAGAGTGACGAGAGCCCGAAAGTTTTTAGTTACGTGATGTATTAAGTATCGCAATGACTTATCAGTCTCTGGCATAATTTCAATACAGGGCAATGAACTTAAATAGTTATTTGCCAATTGTCTTTTATTGTCATATTGCTTCTCATAAAGCTTCTCTGCGATTAATGTGATTAATTTTTGTCTGAAACCTTTAAATTGTAAATTACGCGGGCAACTTCGTCCTCTAAGTACTTGCTGTTTTTGACTGTTTTAATTCTTGTGAACTAAAGAACTAAATCTTTGAATTCGAACCACTTATGAGTAGTTCCATCTAAGTTCGGTATTTTTATAGGCGGCAATTGAAATTAAAATTCTCACAATTCTTATGACTTTGCAATATTGATTAGGATGTAGTGGAAGCCTCTTCAGTATCGAAAGTCGTAGCGATAAGCTTATCTCACAAAGTGATTTACTATTAAAGAAAAAATGCATACGAAACGATACGCTCCTCACTCCGTAGTCTAACAGCTACTGAACGCTATTAGCGCGGAGGCGGGGCTAACACAACCGGTTCAGTTCGTACTCGTAGTCGTAGATGTGCTCGGGAAAATAGTCGCGTAATCGTGCTATGGGGATGACACGCGCTGGAATTGAGACAATTATTTTGCTAAATATTAATCGCGGAAATAATTATTAGCAAGCTATTTTTAAACAAATAAACAATTTAAACTTTTGAAGCTAACGAACGACAGAAGAAACATGTAGCAGGACTCTCTAGTCCGGCGTTTCTTCTTATATTAATTAGAATAATATATAAAATATTTAAAAACCTTTAATTTAGTACAATATTATTAGCAAAATAACGTTTTGTGAGCATAAATGAACTATTTATTATGAATAGGATAGATTGGGATTGATCCTACTTGAGCCTATATGACTTGCAAAATTTACAGTGAATTACTAATTCAGCCTTGTATTTATTGTTTATTGCTAATGCAAAATAGTTTGAAGAACATTGTTTAAGCAGTTGAATAATAATAAGGGGAAGTTATGAATAAATAAATCACCTAATTTGATAAAACTATTTCTTCATTGATAACGCAAATCAAAGAGGAAAAATAAAAAATAAATTGAAACGAGCTCACAGATTAGGTATAGGCAGTCAGACGATGCTCGTCTGAGAAGAGTAGGCTGACGACTTGGTGCTACTTGCTGAAAAGTAGGCCTGAAGTCCCATGGGATGAGAGTATCGGTGAGGGGCACGGGCGGTGCGGTGATCTGGCTGCTCGATGTACACGTTGACGATCTTCTCTAATATGTAAGAGGCAATCTTGATCCGACGTGAAGAATTAGACGTGGCGGTGACTTTTGCGCGTCCTTCACATAACTTTGGGTGTAATCGACAAAACTTCGTTATCCAGATTAGTTTTGCAAGTCCTATCACGGTCGCCAATTTGTTAGTGATAGAATAAGAAAAAATGAAAGAAGGCGAATAAAATTAATTAATTTTTTATTTGAATTAAGTTTGC